CGATAAGGAAGATCTTCTATGATCCACCCTAACATTACAAGTGAATCCTCCTTAAAGCTTCTAATATACCAAAGAACAAGAATGACTTTGGGTAACACATAAATAATCTTCCTTCAAAAATACATACATATAGTCCTAGATACACACAACTTACCAAGACTGGATGAGGAGGAAATAGAAAATCTGAATAGACCTATAAGTAATAAGGAGATTTAGTCAGTAATCTAAAATCTGAAAAAAAAAGAAAAGTCCAGGACCAGATGTTTCATAGGCGAATTCTAGCAAACATTCAACCAAGAATTAACACCAAATTTTCTCAAACTCTTCCAAAATATTAAAGCAGAGGGAACACTTTCTAACTCATTTTATGAGGCCAAGACTTCCCTGATACCAAAGCCCGACAAAGATACTACAAGAAAACTACAGACCACTAGCTCTTATGTTGCTGCAAAATCTACAACAAAATATTAACCTAACCAGCCTATTAAGGGATTACACACAATGACCAAGTCGAACTAATTCAAGGAATGCAAGAACTGTTCAACACGTGAAAATCAATGTAATATAACACATTAACAAATGAAGGAAAAAGCCCCACCTAATCATCTCAGTTGTTGCAGAAAAAGCATGTGATAAAAATCATACCCTTTCATGATAAAAATATTCAAAAAACTTGGAATATAAGGAACCTACCTCAACATAACAAAGGCCATATATGAAAGACCCACAGCCAACACCTACGCAGTGGTGAAAGACTAAAACATGACAAGGATGCCTTCCTTCACCACTTCTATTCAACACAGTACCAGAAGTCCTAGCCAGAGGAATTAAATAAGAAAAAGAAATAAAAGCATGCATATTGGAAAAGAAGAAGTAAAATTATCTCTGTTCACAGACATTATGTTATAGGTAGAAAAACCTAAAAACCACAAAAAACTGTTAGAACTGATACACAATTTTAGCCAGGTTACAGGATATAAAATCAATACACAAAAATCAGTTGTTTCTATACACTAACAATGAACAATCTGGAAAAGAAATTAAGAAAACAATTCCATTTACAATAGCACTGAAAAAAATTAAATACTTAGGAATAAACTTAACCAAGGAGGTACACCGAAGACTAAAATACTGCTGAAAGAAATTAAAGAAGGCACAAATGGAAAGACATCCCATGTTTGGGGACTGCAAAACTTAACATTGGTAAGATGTCCATACTTACCCACAGCAAACTAGAGATTGAAAATAATCCCTATCAAAATCCCAATAGCATTTTTTGCAGAAATATAAAATCATACAGAAATACCAAGGGACCTTAAATAACCCAAACAATCTAAAAAAGGAATCCAGTTGGAGGTGTCACATTTCTTGATTTCAAACCTTACTACAAAACTACAGCAATCAAAACACTTAGTATCAGCATAAAGAAAGACATGCAGCCCAATGGAACAGAAATAAACTCTCGCATATGTGGTCAAATGATTTTTGACAAGGGTGTCAACATTATTCAGTGGGTAAGGACAATCTTTTCAACAAATTGTGGTGGGAAAACTGGGCATCTACATGTAAAAGAATGAAGGTGAGGGCGCCTGGGTGGCTCAGTTGGTTAAGCAACTGCCTTCGGCTCAGGTCATGATCCTGGAGTCCCAGAATCGAGTCCCACATCGGGCTCCCTGCTGAGCAGGGAGTCTGCTTCTCCCTCGGAACCTCTTCCCTCTCATGCTCTCTATCTCTCATTCTCTCTGTCTCAAATAAATAAATAAAATCTTTAAAAAAATAAAATAAAATAAAAGAATGAAGGTGAATCCTTATTTTACACCACACACAAAAATTAATTCAAAATGGATCTAACATCTAAACATAAAACATAAAAGTATAAAACTCTCGAAAAAAAACATAGTAGAAAAGCTTTATGACACTGGATTTGACAATAATTTCTTAGATAGATACAAATGCACAGATAACAAAAGAGAAATACACAGTTGGACTTCAAAATTTCAGACAAACTTTTGCAAAGATGATTGACATCACCAAACAAATGCAAAACAAAACCACAATGATACTGCTTCACACCCATTAAGATGGCTATTACCAAAAAAAAACAAAAAACAAGTGTTGACAAGGATGTGGAGACACTGGAACCCTCATGCACTGCTTGTGGATAAGTAATGGTGGAAAACAGTATGGCAGTTCCACAAAAAGTTAAAAATAGCAATTTGCCTTCTGGGTACATACTCAAAAGAACTGAACACTAAGTCTCAAAGAGGTATTCATCCACTCGTGTTCACAGCAACATCATTATGCACAATAGCTAAAAGGTGAAAACAACTCAGCTATATATCAATAGATAAATGGATATATAAAATACCATGCAGTGTTCAAAAGGAGAAATTTGACACATGCTACATTAGGGACGAGCCCTGCAGACATCATGGTAAATGAAAGTAGCCAGTCATAGGGAGCCTGGGTGGCTCAGTTGGTTGAGCGACTGCCTTCGGCTCAGGTCATGATCCTGGAGTCCCGGGATCGAGTCCCACATCGGGCTCCCTGCTCAGC